GACGAAAGAATGATTAGTGGGTGTGGCTTGCGGAGCTGTGCAATGTGGTGCATCGTGGGTGTTGTAGTCTTTTATACAAATGCACCCTTCGGGTATTTTCTGTCTTTTCTCGGTCAAGAGGGCACCAAATTAAAAAATTCTTTTACATTTCGACTACATATATGATCCACTTTCAATAAAGATTATTGTTGAAATGGGTGAAATGCTCCTTTAATCTAATATTTGCATTTTACCTTATTTCAACTCTAGTTTAATTAACACAAATGTTTTTAATAGTTTTATTTATTATAAATTATATATTGTATTATATGATTTTAAATAATATAATCTATAGGCTGTTTAAAGTTGTTCTGGGTTATTAGTGGCCACCTAGAGTGTTTTGGGTGTAGTTACTAGGGCGATGTGATTGCTAATGCATTCTGAATGTTTTTTTTTTTTTTCCAGTTGATATGGTCTTCTTGAAGGTTGATTTAAAGTCCACCACAATCGCCCCTTTTCAGCGCTTCGCTTATTGTGTTCTGTCTCCTGGTTTGGTTTCCACAACATGAAGGTAAGATCTTATGGATTTTAAGAATGAACTGCTCAATTTAAAATCTTCCCAGTCTACTGACATTTGTTATGACATTCGCTTCAAACATTACAATGTTCATGACACTTTTGTTAACTCTACAATTGGTAAATTCAATTCACCAGCTAATTACTCTTCGACATTGTGTCATACTACCACAAAAACAGAAGTTTAAACACAAAATTCTAAAGATGGCTGAATGCTTGTTTCTCTGGCGCATGCATACGGTCTAAAACGTTTCTAGGGTGTACTAGGTTATTGCTAGTGTTATTTGTGATTACTAGATGGTTGCATGGACTGTTCTGGGTTGCCAGGGCATTGCTATGTGGTTGATAGCAGATTATAGATGATTGATCCTCCTTCTGTGTGCATCTGCTGTGTTTTCCACCTGTTTTATAGGTGTAAGGTTTTATAGGTTTTATAGGTGTAGGTGCGTAAGTTGATGCCTATGGCAGTCAGTAAGGAGAAGGGGAGAGCGAGAGACGTGCTGTTTTGTCTGTCATTCAGCGTACGTTTAAATCGGAAAATAAATAGTACGAAGAGACTCCGGCAGAATAAACACAAATGAGAATGGACCAGTACGTCTCGGTATGGTTATTTGATACATTTATGTACTTGGGTGGCAGTGGCTCAGTGGTTCATGTGGGTTGTCTACGAACCGAAAGGTTGGTGGTTCAATCCTCGGTTCCACCTGACCAAGTGTCGAGGTGTCCATGACTCCATGAGCAAGACACCTAACCCCAGCTGCTCCCGACGAGCTGGATGGCGCCTTGCATGGCTGACACCGCCGTCGGTGTATGAAAGAGTGTATGAATGGGTGAATGTGAGGCAAACTGTAAAGCGCTTTGGTGGCCATTAGGTCTATGAAGGCGCTATATAAATGCAGTCCATTTACCATTTACCATTTGTTGTTGTAATCGCGTCCCATTTGCAATTATGGATGTGGAACACACACACACAGACACACAATCCCAGTAACTGAGCAGATTGTGAAATACTCAGACCAGCCCGTCTGGCACCAACAACCATGCCATGCTCAAAATTGCTTAAATAACCTTTCTTTCCCATTCTGACATTCAGTTTGGAGTTCAGGAGATTGTCTTGACCAGGACCACACCCATACATCCATTGAAGCAGCTGCCATGTGATTGGTTGATGATTAGATAATAAATTGCATTAATGAGAAAATAAACAGGTGTTCCTAATAATCCTTTAGGTGAGTGTGTTGAATATAATGTATAATAATCCAATTGGGGGATATTTGTGGGTCCAACTGTCTTATATTACCAGTAAGAAGTGGCCTACATTATTTTAAATATATCTAGTCAGTGACAGAGTGCAAGCATTTGTTTAAAAATATTTTTTTATTTTCAGCTTCAGGGGCCGTATTCACAAAATTTTTTATCTTACCACTAGGAGTACTCCTAAATTGCACTAAAATATTTTAGCTAGGAGTTTTCTCTTAAAAGTTATTCACAACGCCTTTCAGACCTACTCTTCTTAGTAAGGAAAAATGAAAACTCCTAAACTAAGAGTGAGTCTTCGTTGCTATGGAGGACGTCAATTCTCATGCACGAGCTTCCTCGCAATGATCACGGTGATTAGTTGTTAGATGAGAGGGCCATCATGCGGAACATAACACAGCAACAAATCATAGAATTATGACATCTAAATATGTCTGGGTCCTACACAAAATAATAATAAGAAAAAAAAGTAATGTCATCGAAATGCATGAGGCTATATAATGACATGTTTGTGCAGGCCACAGTAAAGTGTAATTCTAAAAAGGCAGAGACAGAAAAGTCATGAATGAAATTATTTAAGGTAGTCTAAGGGCATGCAGTGTCCACATATCGCGTCTTTTGCGCGCTCAAGTTCGTTATTTTAAATGTAGGTGTGAGCGCCCGTTTTTTCCAAGCGCGTCCGTATGGAGCGCACCGTTGGTCACGTGACAAGAACTAACCAGCGCTTTGGAAAAAGGAGAAAGCGGCGCCTTGCGTTTTTAGGCGCTATATGTGAATGTGAATATCTAGCCTAACTAGACTACTTAAAGCAAGGAAATGTTGCTCCTATTGAAGTAATGTAATAGTCGAATGACGGTGGATTATGAACTCGCCAAAATGGAAAAGAAACCCCAACTGGACGCCGAATCAGTTGGTGCTAGAAAAAAATAATAATAAAAGTGAAATTCGGCACTGGAATATCAAGCAAAACTTAGCGTGAGACATGGAAGAGGATTTGTTTGCATTTGCAGATCAATGCAGCATTCCCGCTTGTTTCGCGGACCCCGGACAACTGCGAGAGGCGCCGGTGTCGCTACAATCCTTTGTGAATAGGTCTTAGTGAGTTAGGAGTCCTCTCGACTTCTTTTAAGCTGTCCCAGACTTAGGTGCTACTTTTAGGGCTAAAATGCTTCGTGAATTACTCTTAGTGAAAAAAATTAGCAGTCCTAAAGTTATTTTTAGGAGTTGCTCCTAAATTCGCCAGTTAGGAGCTACTTTTAGCCTTAAAATTCTCTGGGAATACGGCCCCAGAATCATGAATGTTTTTATTCTGCTGTCACCATTGTCTTCTGCATTGGGTTATCAGCACCAAGTCCAAGCCTATTCATTTCCACACTCAATGTAATACCAAATATAGCATTTTAATCAACAGTACATTTTTTGTACTTGGAGCATCGCAATAATATCGTATCGATGATATCGAATCCAGTGGCGGCTGCTGGTCTTTTAAAGAGGGGAAGCTCTTTTTTCTTCTTCTTTTTTTTTAAACTCGACTGTCAGGTGTGGGGATGGTGAAAAGAGCGAGGACTCGATGCAGAGTTGATGGGCTTTATTTTATTGATAAAAACAAACAAAAAACAAACAAGGGGAATAAATTGGGAGCAAAAAAGGCAGGTAACGAGGGAGGACAGGTGGGGCAAAATAACTAATAATCAGGAAACAAGATGGGAGTCGACACAATGACAGGAAAGCACATATGGCACAATAAACACATGACAAGCACAAGCCATGTGCAAAAACACATGACCAATAAAACAAATTAAAAAGCAATTGTGCTCACACAAAATGAGACCTGAAGAACGATGAGAACACTCATAAGACACGTGTTCACACAGAACATGACAACATGAAAGCACACAGCTAGTTTAAAACACAAGCTGTGTGCTACACAGCACAAGACAAAACATGACATGAAAGCACGCGGCCGATGTAAACACAAACCATGTGCCACACAATACACAACACACTGAACAGAGCGAACACGACAAGACAGAACGCTAACGTTACGCATGAGTACGACCATAAGGTCATCCTGTGCACTCAAAACCGAAAACAAACACGCGGAGAATGCACGTCCGAATCCCGACACAAAAGTGAAACCAAACTAGACAGATGTGCCGTGATTCAAACACCACGCCCGCACATGTAACAAGACACCTGACATCGACGGAAGAAATGTGGGAATTAGGTTGAACTGTGAAATATCTGATGAAAATTGCAAATACTAAGAAATATGTTACAGTAGTTCGTCTTTTGAGTAAAATACACACAAAATTCGCGACGAGACTGAGCACGAAGTCTTTAAACTAGCTTCCGCGTCAGCGATTTTTTTTATTGGGTGAAATCGCTGTCAATCAAAAGGAGATGCAATCCTCCAATCATCACGCGGACGCACGGACGCCAGGCCAGCCCACTTCCCTATTCACCCCAGAGACGCCCGGCGTCCGTGGGCGGGACATAATCGCAGCATTTATCCAATGACCGTCTAGTTTAACAGCACTGAAAAAAACTGTTCAAAGCAGCCCCACTGAAGTCAATGGACACCGAGCTTCAACGGGGAAATGCCATAAGAAAATGCATGCACTGTGACGCGCTACAGGTATGCATGAGAAGGAGATCAAGTCAGCCGACCTGCTATTTGTTGCTTATTCTGAACGAACTCGTCTTCGAGATTACCGTGTTCTAACGCATTTTTACTCATTAAAATGTTGACACAATAGTACACATTTGATCATTATTTGTTTGACATTATAGGGGAAGCTGAGCTTCCCTTGCAGTCTTAAAGAAATCTCCACTGATCGAATTGTGACATTAGGATATCAGTACAACCCCAGAGTAAAGTGCCCGCACAGTGCACCCTCTCCTCAACAACACATGATTTGAGCAACAATTTAGCCTGTCTGGAGCACAAAAACTGTGGGATGGCACACTCTCAATTTTAATATGTTAAATGTCAGAGTTTTGTTCAAATCCCTATGAGCTTAGAACCTTAGAAAACATCACAAGTTAAAGGATACATGAAATGGACTGAATGAGAGAAAGAGTGCAAAATGTTGACTGCAGGTTTAATAGCTGCAAGTCAATCTTAGATTCTGTTACACACACACACATTCAACCCGCCTTCCTGTTGTGCGTCTCATCCCTTCCCATCCTCTCTCTCTCTCTCTCTCGTCACGTGTGCAGGTCTGTGAATCGCAGCAGCGGCTTTGTGCGTTTCTTTCTGTGTGAGCGAGAGAGAGGCTCAGGGCTGCACTCCTCTAAGGGCTTCTCGTACTCTCTCTCAGCACACATTCACACACGCACACGCGTTCATCCAGACAGGGGGCTTTCACCATCCCAGACACACCGTCTGCTGCCCAGCGGAGCACTGCGACTTCTGTCTGGGAGAGCCTGACGGAGAGGAGGGGATTTTTACCCAGGATCCTTCCGTGATTTGCAACAGCATGCGCCCGCCGTGCCAGACTTCATTCCAAGGTTGAGCTGAGCACAGCCGCTGCAAGAGGGCGACGAGGGAGGAATGGATCGTGGAGAGAGCAGGACGTGGAACTGAGGGCTTTTCCGTTGTCAGAGGATGCTCTGTGCTTCACGGCAGGACGTTTAAGAGTTCGTTGGACGATCCTGTGCTGTAGTGGATGGATTTTACGTGCTGTCGGAGAGGGTATGTATGTCCACTTCACTAAGTTAAGCTGTTGCATCTTGAACCTTAAAATGCACTTGAACAGATCATGCATTTGCTTGCTGCATCGTGTGTCCATGCATCCGTGGATCACTTTTTAACATTCTGTCATTAGACTTTGTGCGTTGTTCTGGGAAGAGGGGGCGGGGGTAAGCCCGATGCTTTCAGCCCGTTGTTGCTATCAGCGCATTTCTCTCTGATCAACATCTGGTGGCATGTTCTCGCAAGCAGAGAGGGATGATTGAAGCACTTGCTGGATTATCATCGAGAGAGCTTTCAAATTCCCGCAGCTCTGATTTGTTGTTGTTCTCGGCTAAAGGGCATGCATCGCACCCAGCATTTGTTTCATGCATGCATGCATTGATGCATGCATGCATGCCGGGACAGAAGCCCTGATGTGAAGTGATATCCAGCATGTTCTCCGTCAAGGGGCATCATAGTCATTTTCATGCTCATTTTTAAAATGAATGCGATTTTTAAGGTTTAAAGAGCGTATGTAGACAGGGATCTGTGCACGCCGAGGTTTAGCGGGGTAATGACTGAATGTGAGATGAGCAACGGATTGTAATTGTGTTAGTGGGTGGGGCTCTTACTCACTCTCTCGCTGTCTCTCGTCCCCCCCTCTCTCTCTCTCTATCCTAAATATGCATCAGGAGGGGCTGAGGTTGTCAGAGGAGTGTCTGTATGTGAGGTATGGGGTCAGAGCCCTGCGTCTACATCAGATCGATAATCCATATCTTTTGTATCTCAAGCTCACCGCCGGCCACACATGAGATCGTCTTTCCTCGGGAGAGAGAAAGCGAGAGTAGCTAATGAGCTGCCTGTCTTTATGAAGCATTCCACAACACGCTGTCAAGCGCAATGATTTGGAGCAGCTACATAATACATGAACTGAACTAATAAATGACTGAAAAAATTAATTATAAATAAATACATGGATACTTTGTAGTTTCATTCGGATAGTGAAATCAGTTTTCTGAAACCCATTTTCCACACATAGATCTGCATAAAGTTGGTTTGAGGTTTGGTTGTTGTGAATGGCACAGTTTGCAATTCTCATGAATTTGTATTCTAACTTGTGGAACTGGAAAGTAAAATGTTATTGCTCAGAGGTTGCTCTTTCGTAATTCAGAACTTAAAAAAAAACCTTGTTAAACTGCTTAGATGAAATAAAAATAGATACAAATTAGTTAATAAGAATCATATAGAGCTATAAAATGAATGTCTCTAAGAGCTTAACTCTTCTTAACTCTTCTTTCCACAAGATCTTGGATCATGTATGCAGGGTTTTGCTCACCTTCAGTATTCGGACATGAGAGCATTAGTGAATCAGTTCAGTTCTTCCACACCAGAGTCAGTAAAGCATATCTTTATAGACTTTGCTTTGTGCACAAAGTCATTTTGAAATAATAGCATGGCTGTATGCTTGATTTTACGGTGTAGCTCAAATAGCAAGATGTGTTCATTTGTAGGTTGTGTCACAATCATTTGGTCAATTAGGGTATGCAGATAGGTTCGTTAGGCAGACACACTTATTTGTCATTAGCTATCCAAATAATGTGACTCTGAATCAAAATGAATTTCAGTTAATGTTTCAAAAACATATTTTTCCATTTACACCATATCCAGTGAAATTTGATTAGCATTTAGCTCTGTAAATTAGAAGTTGATGCCTACCTGTTGGGGGTGTGGTGGAAATACTGCAGTTACTCTAACCAGATTTAATCGTCTCATCTGTATTTTTCAGTAGATTGATTGATTGATTGAGCTCTGTAATGCTGTAATAGCTTAATAAAGAGACTGTGATTTTAGCCATTAATCACAGAAGAGCTAATAAATCAATTGGAAAAGGAAGTTAGAAACCTCTGGTCTCAGCGTTTGCTTCCACTGCCCAGTTTAAACTTTTTCTGTGTGGACATCAGAAATGAACTTGACAAATGTTATTAGGTCCAAAGTCTTAATCATGCCGGATGCTGGAGTTTTACCAGCCAAATACTTAGTTTAATTAAAAGTATCAGAGAGTCTAGTGATTGTGACATTTGGCTTCCATGTTCTAGCTTCTGTTATTGAGTGGTTTGGTTGTGTTGAATAGACAGTATTTGTGGCAGATGACTGAATTTTATCCTATACTTTTTCAAAATTTACCCATAGAAATTTTCCAACTATTTAGAGTTTGTTTTTGTATAAGAAAATATATTGAGAGGTTTATGATTAAAACAAGAAGAAAAAACTGGATTGTTTTCACCAGCGGGGGATAAATTAAACCTAATTGAAGATTCAAAATTCCCTTTTTTTATCTTATTTACATTATTTTACCTGATAAGCATATCTTGTTGTAAGGATGTTTAGATATTTTTAGTAAAAAACAAGACAAAAGTAGGCCTAGATGGACAAATTATGTGTAATGGGGTCAATAATGCTTGAGTGAGTGTACAAGCTTTGTTTGGTTATAATTACATTAGTGAAATGAAAGCTTCTTTAGAAGGTGTATGTGTGTGTGTGTGTGAGAGAGAGAGAGAGAGAGCGAGAAAGAAAGAGTGAGGGAGAAGGGTCTGTAAACACCAAGGTGCCTGACTCACATCACTGTCATCAACCCTTGCGCGCATGCTTCACGCACACGCACACATGCGGGCTGTCTCCTGGTCTGTTCTGTATTATAGGTCAAATGTGCTATCTAATTCCTTACAGTGTACTATTGCTGTGTTTGTGTTGCTATTTTCACTGACAGAAATTTATAAATTAACATCTATAACTATACATTTTTTTTTTAACTTTATCTAATTAGATGCAACAAGTGGATCCTTTTGTGGAGTGATGCATAATAACTTTATTACTCCCCTTTTACCTCCATTCAGGGCTTGACATTAACACCCGCCAAGTCGCCAACCCGCCAAAAGCGGGTGGATTTCAGTGTTTGCATGTAACGCAGTCACTCCTACTAGCCACTTTGGCGGGTTGAATTTTATATAATATACATTTTCAATTGTAGTCTTTTAAAAAGGCATCTGAAATAGTAAGCTAAGTGCAATCTAGTGTTGGCAGTAATATTTACTTTTCGATACATATTGATACTGAAATATCTGAAACTCTTCCACAGAATAGATACAAAAGACACCAGCTGCGTGTTCACACTCTCCAAAACCTTAACTCACCAAACCTTACTCACCTTAACTCACCAAACCTTTACTTACTCTACTCTTTTAATTTGCTCTGGATGAATATTGTTGGTGGTACAAGGCTTGAATTCTGGCGGGGGATTGCACGTATTGAGTACCATTATACTCATTCAGATTTTGTGCTCACACCCATAGTCTGTGCACATAAAGTATATTGTGAATAAATGTTGATTAAACAGCTTCTCTGCTGCACCCCGACAGGAAGAAAGAATCGTGCTGTGATCACGAAAGATGCTTCCCATTGAAATACATTAGTTTAAAAAACTTACTGATATCTTGAAAATAACGAAATAAATGTGGCTAACAAAATATGTTGTGGCACCGTTACGGAACAGGTTGACCAGAAGTTATATAGTGATTAAATGACACCAGAACAATGCAATATCATTATTTAAAATGAAGTACCTTTTAAAGAAACCCATAATAAAGCGATATGTTTCCAAGAGATAAAACAACGTAAATTGGAGTGTGGACCACACTACAGATGCTGCCTGTCATTGACTAGGCATCACTTCTGTGGACCCATCACGGAATTTTCGGCGATTCTGTGAAACTGGCAAAGATTTTCTGTGAGACCAGGGGCCGTATTCACAAAGAATTTTATCTTACCACTAGGAGTTCTCCTAAATCGGACTAAAATATTTTAGCTAGGAGTTTTCTGTTAAAAGTTATTCACAACGCCTTTCAGAGGTACTCTTCTTAGTAAGGAAAAATGACAACTCCTAAACTAAGAGTGAGTCTTTGTTGCTATGGATGACGTCAATTCTCATGCATGAGCTTCCTCGCAATGATCACGGTGATTGGTTGTTAGATGAGAGGGCCATCATGCGGAACATAACACAGCAACAAATCATGGAATTACGACATCTAAATATGTCTGTGTCCTACACAAAATAATAATAATAAAAAAAATCATGTCATCGAAATGCATGAGGCTATATAATGACGTGTTTGTGCAGGCCACCGTAGGTCACGTGACAAGAACCGGAGCGCAACCGCCGGGAGAATGTGGCGCGCCTTGCGTTTTTAGGCACTATATGTGAATGGTGCCTAATACCCTAATGAAAACCTTCACTTGCCTAATAATGAAAAACGACACTTGCATTAACACTTGCTAGGTTAATTGACATTTTATTAGCCTAACTAGACTATTTAAAGCAAGGACATGTTGCTCCTATTGAAATAATGTAATAGTTGAACTCGCCAAAATGGAAAAGAAAGCCCAACTGGACTCAGGATCGGTTATTGCTGCTGGCCCAGTTGGTGCTAGAAAAAAAAAAAAAAAATATATAATAAAAGTGAAATTTGGCACTGGAAGGCAGCATTCCCGCTTGTGTCGCGGACCCCGGACAACTGCGAGAGGCGCTGGTGTCGCTACAATCCTTTGTGAATAGGTCTTAGTAAGTTAGGAGTCCTCTCGACTTCTTTTAAGCTGTCCCAGACTTAGGTGCTACTTTTAGGGCTAAAATGCTTTGTGAATTATTCTTAGTGAAAAAAAAAATAGGAGTCTTAAAGTTAGGAGTGACACACCCATTATTTTTAGGAGTTGCTCCTAAATTCGCCAGTTAGGAGCTACTTTTAGCCTTAAAATTCTTTGTGAATACGGCCCCAGGTTGATAAAACATAATGGGTCCGTGCGTCAGGTCTTAAAGTGACAGTAGCCTAATATACCGGCTGCCAAATTATGAGATCCAAATTGTGGCCAGTGAAAATGCTGAGTGGCTAAGTAACTTTGGAAAACCACTAGCCACAGTGGCTGGTGAGCAAAAAAAGTTAGCCCTGCTGCATTTATGAATAACATGAGTTTTCAGACAAATCTATTCAAGTCTGAATTATTGATTTTCAAACAGATGCCACTTCTTTCCCATTGCATAAAGGGTTTTGTCCTGTACAATTGAGTTGATTGTTCGGGTTAATAATCGTGTGCTCATTAAGTAGGTACCTTGCCTGTAGGTGGGATTATAGGCAAGGTATACTACATGTGGCAAAAGACAGTTTACATCGGTGTGACTTGATGATTAATGGTTATATTGCCATACAGACACATCATTGATCATGATACAGCTAACAAATTGCATTCTTCTAATTTTGAAGCTTGTTGTTAGGTACAGTATAGATTTGTAAAACAATAACAACACAGGCATTCATGTTAGTATGTTTTGGGCATTATTGGCTCTCCAAAACAATACTATTGTGGCCCAGAGTCTGCTCTGGTTTTTGTGTAAATAAGATGGTTCCCTCAATACTCACAAAACATGACATATCTAGCTCAACTGAATTGGATTTGACAGTCTCATGAGAAATGGCCTATTAAATTGGTGCTCTAGATGCATTGTTCTGTGATTCACCGTGCAGTACATACAGTGTAACGTTATGCATTTTACATATTGACCTTCATTGCAAACTAACTGAAAAGATGTTTTTCTTTTTCTTTTTTCAGAGATATGATGCCTCTTCTGAAGAACATTGAACAATATTTCTCTCACTGAGGATGTGCAACCATTTCTGCTCAGCACAACCACATCTGAGGTCACTTCTTGTCTAGACCCTCTTATACCTCAGGGTTGACTTTCAAAATTCATAAGTGTCTGCATGTTCCCCGTTGAGCACCGCTTGGTTTGAGACCAGTTTTGCTTCACTGCATCCAGAGTGCAAAACTGCGGAAACATCGCCCTCCATGGTTTCTGCCCATTTCAAGAAGCTATCGTCTTACATCGTAAAGATTTGCAAAGGAATGTTTACAAAGAAACTGGCAACTGCCACAAAGAAGAAAGAGAGCAGCGAAAACAAAAAAGAACCAAAAACGTCCCCTGACCTGCAAGCAAGGAACCCAACATTCTCAACCACACTAAAAAGCACAGTTAAAAAAATCTCAAAATGCTCGTCGGCACGCAATATATCTCTTGAGGAGGATGATGGAAAAAACGACTGTTCTTCTCTCTCGCCAACATTCAGTTACCGTGTAGCAATTGCCAATGGTCTGCCAAAAAATTCCCTCTTTCTGAACAATAATGAATTTCATGAGGTCTTGTCAATTGATAGTGATTACTCTGACTCTCTAAACGAGGCAAAACTTGTCCATAGATTCGATGAACAAAAAGCTTATACAATGCCAGTAAGAAGGAACAGGAAGAGTTTGATTAGTTTAGCGCCCTCTGATGGCAGCTCGGAGGGAGAACGGGGAGAGCGCAGCAGTCTCCAAACTCTTCGATTGGGTGCTCTGAAAAAGCTGAGGAAATGGAAGAAGAGCCAAGAATGTGTGTCCTCAGACTCAGAGGCCAGCAACTGGAGAAAGACTCTTGGCATCAGAAGCAAATCTCTAGACCGGGCTGGCCGACAGCAGAAAACCACTACCCTAGAGCCGGGATCCAGCTCGACGGGATGTATCAGTCAGACTCAGGATGTGATGGAGATGATTTTCAAAGAACTTCAGGGAATCAGCCAGATTGAGTCTGAGCTCTCAGAGCTGCGAGGGCACGTTAACGCCCTCAAAAGCTCCATTGATGAGATCTCCAGCAGCGTGGAGGTGGTGCAGAGTGAAATTGAGCAGCTCCGAACAGGTTTTGTGCAGTCTAGACGTGAGACTCGAGACATCCATGATTACATCAAACAGATTAGCCAACAGACCAACAAAGCTGCTTTGAGATTTTTAAATGTGCCTGAGGAGAAGTATGAAAAAACAGAAGAGCTTATTTATCAAATCCTGAAAGAGAAAATGGGCTTTGCCGAAGCACGCAAGACATTTAAAATTGAACTGGCCCATCGACTAGGGCAACAAAGAGAATGTTACAATGCTAAACCTCGACCAATTGTAGTTATATTTTCAAGCCCACAAGATAGGGATTTAGTTTTGAAAAAGTGTTATAAGCTTAAAGGAACTGGAATATCCATCTCGACTGATAGTCTAGTACATGATTCAAAAGAAAAGAGAGACAAGCCAATGGCTTCCTCTCAGACATATGAAAGCATGGACATCAAGGTCTCAGCCAAAGACAAGGCTGAAAGTGATGACTGGGACTCCATGGAAAGTGACAAAGAGCTTGATGAATTAAACAAGAACAAATATGCAATTGTGTCCAAACCACCCCCAAAAAGTAAATCTGATAAGAAAAAGTCTCACGATCACCGAAGGATGGCCGATGACTCGGCCTACTCTGTACACTATGCGGATAATACAGGCTATGATGACCACGACAAGCAGAGTAAGTCCTACTATTCTGACATAACACCTGGATGGCTTTCTCAAAGTGACTACTCCACTCCCAAACTCAGCCGGTCTGAATCTGACTGCTCGAAACTTTGCCAGTCTTACTCTGAGGATTTCTCAGAGAGTCAGTATTTCAGCAGAGTCAATGGCTGCTCCTTGCTTTCCTCCTCAGATCAGGAACTTTGGCAACGGAAGCAAGAAGACATGGCATCGTCCTGGTACGCTACTCCTCCCAGTCAAACTCTGAGCCAAGAACGACCTTATGTGGAGCATAATGAAGTTGAAACCACTGAGACAATTGACAGTGGTGTAAGTAATGGTCTCGTTTGTATATCAGGGGACCGGAGCCATTACAGTGGCTCTCAGCTGTCGCTGCAGGGTGACCTCTCACCATGGAAAGATTGGCATCACCTTGAACAAGGTACTGATTCAGGTTTGGATGCTTCAACTGAGCAGAACATAATCTCTGAGATCAGTAGTCCCTTTGACCCTGCAGCTAACCCTGGTTTCCCTGAGAAAATTACTAAATGCCTTGAGGTTGATTTACAATTTGAGGGTGAGACCTTTCTGACACTAGATAGCACTCCTGAGACAGGCCAATACCAATATATAGATTTTGAACCTACATATTTAGAACCTGAGCTAGATCTTGAGCTTGAACCAGAACCAGGGCCAGAGCCAGAGCCAGAGCTAGAACCAGAGCCAGAGCCAGAGCCAGAACCAGAACCAGAGCCAGAACAAATGGCACCGCCAGAACCTGAACCAGAATTAGAGCCGGAGCCAGAGGTTGTGATTGAACCCATAGCAAAACCAGTACCTAGACCTGTGGCTGAACCGCAACCTGAAAAGAAGCCCAAGACCAAGAAGATCCAAGCTAAGCCTGAATCAGCTCCACAAACTTTGCAGCGGCAAGATGTGAACCACCTCCAGCAGGGCCAGAAATCTTCAGCCATGTACCGGAGCCAGAGTGAGATCCGAAATGAGAAGGTGGAGGACGTCCCCAAATCATGGAGTAGCAGGCTTAGCATAGACCTTGGTGAAAAATCCTTTGGCTTTGGAGGTTTTGGATCCACCCTGCAAAGAGCAAAGTCAGCTTTGGATTTTGTATGGAATAAAGGCCCCCAAAGCACCAGTGCCCCAGTTGAAGAACCAAGCAACACCTCATTCATGGGAAGGTTCAGAACCATGTCCCAGTCCACAGCGAACAGCTCCAGCACAACTATTGACTCTGATGTCTACACAGAACCTTTCTATTACAAGGCAGAAGATGAAGATCAATCTAGTGAACAACCTGTGGACAATGAGACACATTATGTTGAGGTGATGGAACAAGTGCTAGCCAATTTGGAAAACAGAACAAATGCCAACGAGGCTGAGGAACAGTACCAAGAAGAGGAATACAATGTCTCGCAAGAATATGACATCTCTCAAGATGGTAACCTTGTGTTGGAATATGACTGCAGCCTTGATGAACAATATGATGAGGAATTTAGTGAGGAGTATGACGACAATCCCATGACTGAAGACACAGCAGAATATGACGTGAGTCTGGTGGATTATGTGGAAGAAACTGGGGAACCAGAAGCAGAGATTGAAGAACAGGAGGAAGGCAAAAAGGAGGTGCAGGAAGTTCAAGAAACATCAGAAACGAAGGGAGCAGATGAGGTTGAAAAGGCTGTAGAACATGAGGACGAGAACAAGAACGTTACAGAGGTTCCTGTGCAGGAAGCACCACCCAAAAAAAGGATACGTCCCACCTTCAAAGAGGCAGCATTGAGAGCTTACAGGAAGCAGATGGCTGAGCTGGAACAGCAGATCCTGGCAGGAGGTATGATTCAAACAGTTATTTTTATTTTATTTGCTTACTGTACAAAATTGCTTATACATTATAGTTGTTTAAATTTAAAAAAAGGTCTTGGTTCCTGAATACCCTGGCACTATTGAAGGGTTGTTCTGATGGACAGGATCATGATTACTATTTTTAGATGTTGAGTGGTTAGAATTGTCGATTGATTTTGTGTTTGTGTGTGTGGTTGTCCAGCATATCAGTGTTCAGGTGAAAGTGTACTTTACTTTTGTGGCCTTCAATAATCTTAGAGAAACAAATCGACATCAAGGTGGTTATTTAAGCATTTATTTTTAAAAGATAAGTCCATCCATATAATAATGTTTTTCTCATTATTTAATCTCACTCCTGTCATTCCACACCCAGATTGCTTCTTTTTTTTATCATAAAACCGCAATTTTATAGATGTTTACAATTTGATAGCTCTCTCCAATACAATTTGTTCATGTGAATTTTCAGATCAGGCCAGAGTTGATGACAATGACAGAGTTGATGTCTGACAACAAACTGCATAGGTTCTTCTTGGAAGTCTTGTAATGTGATGCACCACATTTGAATATGTGCATATGTATGATTTCATCTAGGGTGAAATATTGCTTAAATAAGTGCAAGCATGTTTTCTTAGCAGTTTTAGCATTTTATTTAATTTCCAGTGGTAGTTTCTCAAAAATTTGTTTTCATAGTCAGTTTACACAATACATGCTAATATGAACATAAACAGCTGAAATTGTGTCGACTGTCTCTACACTATTCTAAAATTTACCCCACAAAAGCAGTTTCTTTTACAGTCAGTCAGGAATCAAGGGAATTTCCACCCAGTCTTACTCACACTGAAAACGCTCTTGACCTAGATGTGAAAATCACAGTCACAGCACACGGCAAACCCAACACTGCACTGAGTACTGTTGGGATACTGTATTTAGGCTGCTCATTCATGCTGCACGCTAACAGCCAGATGCTCTGTGTACTTAAGGGGATTCTGATTCCCTTAAAACACAAGCCACAAATCACAAACCAAATGAGCTCATTTTTTAGGCATTACAATGAGATTTGACATTGGCACACAATTCAACTCATGGATTCCAAAAATGATTGCATTTTGATGTTTTACATCGAATACATGCATGTAGGGTGCAGTGCTCTCTGTGTTATTTTAGAGTCAGATTCACCAATGGAATTATGCTATTCAGAAGATGATGCAAATGGGTTAATGACAAAAAAAAAGTTTAAAAAAGGATAAACATATCTTTTCAGAATTGATATAATGCATATTTTAAGTCAGGAACAATGTGTTTGTGCACTAGAATATTCAGAATACTGGATTTTTTTCTTCACTTTCTTTACATATAAAATGAAATACAAACACAACAATCTCTATTGAAGTAAAAATAGTAAATTGATCAAAAACAGAATAAATCGCTTTCGAAACTTAGGTGCTTGATTAGACTACAGTGCAATGGATTGGTCTGATACACTGTAATCAATTTTGATTGATTAACAACAGACTTGTGTTTTATATTGATACGAAAAGAATAATAAGGTTAAGTCAGTTGAGACTACTAAACAAGATTCATCACCTCTCGTTTCTTTTTGCAAGATATACTGCTCTTTCAGCGGAAAAAAATAAAATAAACTTGCATCACATTGTCAAAATATTTGGTAGCCCAACTAAACAATTTCATTATAGTGACAGCATATTATGGTGCAATGACTGGTAGGCTATTGCCTTTATTTTATTATTTCTTTGATACAAATTTTTTCATTTCAATTAAATTATTGTGGTTTGATTCTGATCTTGATTCAAAATTGATTCATTTTGATAAATATTCGGTACAGTAAATATTTTTTTTTTCAATAAAGAAAATCTCACCTAATGCTGTAAACATAGGCTACAAACAGCTTATTATAATAACAATTTTATAATATTCTAATGATATAAGTAAAAATATAATAGATATGTAATAGTGCACATATTTAGCAAAATACTAATTTATACTAATGCTAAATAGAGGCTATATTATAAAATACAATTTTGTTTCTAGCCAACTAACACGTGCTATGGTAATTAAATGGTAAATGTAACATTGTGACATTGTTCTCCAGCTGTTTTATTGATCTCTTTCTGTGGTTGAAAACACTGATTTATCAATATTATGTATAAGGCACACATTTCGGTAAGTTGTACTGTATCTTTTAATACAGGGTACCTATTGTTCAATTGTGTTTATTTAACTAGTAGTAAAGAGAGATTATCGGTTTACATGCCATGCCACCAGGCGCTATTTAAAAGCACCAAAATGGTATTTATTGTTTGAATTTTGGAATAATATTTACAGAATCTAAAGGAGCGGAGAATTTGTTTCATATCAAAACAGTAGCCTGCTTTCTGTCTTGTCTGTCGGTGTCAGTGTCCTCTTTGCTTCGCGATTTTCCTCTGCAAGTCTGCATGAGAAAATGAATGTGGGGCGTGAGAGCGTGTGAAAAGTTTCAATTGCGTGAGTCTCTCGGTGAATGCGCGAGAGTTGGCAGCTCTGCGTCTGTGTATATATATATATATATATATATTCCCTGTTCAATTCCTTGTCCATTCTTATGTCTATTACTGGTGTGTCTATTTAAAGGAGTAGTTCACTTTTCAAAAAAAACCTTTTGCTGATAATTTACTCACCCCATGTCATCCAAGATGACCCAGTCGAAAAGAAATTAAGGTTTTTGATGAAAACATTCCAGAATTTTTCTCCATAATGCACTTCAATGTGAACCAAACGGTTTAAGGTCCAAAAGACACTTTCAGTACAAACTGCATACTGTTCAAAGGGCTTTAAACGATTCCAGACGATGAATAAGGGTCTTATCAAGCGAAACGATCGCTCATTAAAAAAACAAACAAAAAAAACACAAAGTTTAAGTTTTATAAGCTCAAATGCTTGCCTTGCTCTGTTCTGTGATGCACGTTCGTGATTCTCCTGTTCGAACTCGTTCATCAAAATGAATGAATCTTTTTCCAAGTCAATTCGTTCGTTTCGTTCGTTGAATGAACCAAATGACTCGGAAAAAGATTTGTTCATTTTGATTTGTTAATTTGTTCTATCATTCAAGAGATTTCCACGATGCATGCGCGAGAACTGCGATCTTCTTCTACTCCTAGTTCAGTTCTTGCGCATGCGTCGTGGAAATCTATTGAATTCCCGTCTCAGGCCTACAAGGAAGAAAAGGAATAGTCGAATAAAGTTGTTATTTTTGTTGTTGTTTTTTCGTACAAAAAGTATTCTCGTCATTTGATAAACTATAGTTGAGCCACCGTTGTCACATGGAATATTTAAACATTTTTTTTGATGACTTTCTGCGCCTTCAAGTTTCAATCCCTTAGGGTGCCTATGTGGTAGTGATCCAGCTCTCAAATTTTATCAAAAATATCTTCATTTGTGTTCCTAAAATGAACGAAGGTCTTACGGGGTTGGTACAGCATTGGGGTGAGTAATTAATGACTTAATTTTCATTTTTGGGTGAACTAACCCTTTAAAGCAGACAACGCAGGCTCATCCGGATCACTAAAGTTACCAGTGTTATACGCCTGCTAGGAATGTTTTTTTTCTCCGTAAAGTTTTTGCATTTGGTGTGCTAATAAAATATTAAAACCCTAACCCTCAGTCAAATCAATATTTTGTGTACAGTTCTTTATTTATGCAACCCAGTAGGGCTGGGCGATAAAACGATAACGATAATTATCGCGATATAATTTTTCTCGATAAAACGATATCAAGAGGTCGATAAATGTTCGATAATGTTTATGCGGTAAAAGCGAAACGAAACTCATTTGAACTGCGCGCGCCACACGGAGCATCCAAACGGCAGCGCACTGAGCGCAGCGTGAGCTCACGCAGACGCGATTACTCTGATCGTCTCACTCACAAGATCCAGTGAGAAGCGCTTGAGTTCAGGGAAGAACACAAATGTCAAGTTTAAACCAGTTTAAAGGCAAAAAGGAGAAACACTGCGTGCAACGATACAGTCAGAATCTGAGTTGATACTGAATCCATTTAGCCTATCATGGATTTACTGTAAGATTATTAGCCTAGTAATATTAACTGCACTATGAAATGTGGGATATACATATTAAATTGTATAATATTATGAAATGACTAATGGAATATAAGTACAGTATTTAATAATGTATTTATCTGTTAGGCTACTGTTTTTCATACAAATACCACAGAAACCATAAAGTTATGCCATGATAGTGAGGTTTTATCTGTGGTTATCATGATCAAATGCATGAGACTGGATGACCAATGGTTAATTTTAATACAACTCAAACAGTCAGAATATTACTTTTTACCAAATAAAAATGTGGTCTTTACATAAAAAAAAAATATATATGTTTTTGAACATAAATTTAAAGAGTAGTTTAAAAACACAATTAACACTCTGGTTTATAGACCCTTTTACAGTTGGTAAACATGGTGACGTTTTTTTGTGGGTGGAGCTTAGGTGGAGGCAGAAAGATCCCTCTGGCCGCTTCACTAACGCTAGTTAGCAAGGATTGTTAGCTTGTTTTTTAACAATGACTGGAGAAAATCCGATATTATCTTAATGTGTAAGGTCACTCAGTGTCCAGGACCACGATTGTTATTTTCAAAATTTATTTTTAACGGACGGAACCAGATTGGCCGACCCGTAGCCGCCTACATGCTCACTCAATGCATGGATGATCTGACAGGATTAACATACGTTACCTCGGTTGAGTGGCCTGACTTCTACACCTACCTTATAGAGAAACTGATCGTAAATAGAAACTGAGGGCATATAAATCTTTAGATGCCTACATGGTCCTGTACAAGACTTGTGTGTACGATCCGCAGTTCTGCCGAGCCAGCGCCGAGACCACGACAATGTAAAGAGTGACATTACAGTGCGATTTTAATGATGTGAATATTTTCTAGAAATAAAAGTTCCAGATACAGCATATTCATTTTTCATCAATTCTTGCACCAAACAACACAACAAGATGACATTTAATAATAGTAACAATTATTTAAGCTCCTTATTATGTAGCCGAATCTGTGCTGTTTTGTATTTGCCGCCTCCAGTTTTCACTTTGTTCTGCCTCCAGCTAGCGCCGTGACGTAACTGTGATGTTGCTGCAAAATGGGTCTATACAACTCTCACTGGAAAGGCAGAGCAAAAATCTGCCTTTAAACTTGAAAGAAATAAAGATATGACATATATTGTGATATTTATCGACATCGACTGATATATATATATATATATATATAAGAAAAAATCGTGATAATTTTTTTGGGCCATATCGCCCAGCCCTACAACCCAGTATCGTGGACTCGCTCTCTGTTGTTTCATACAAACGCAGCTGCTGCCATTTTGTGACTATTTTTGTACACAGTTGGATTATGAGATACAAACAGGTACGATTTTAAAATGGTTTCATCTGAAATCAATCAATATTTTATCCCCAGAATAATTTAGCCTACGTGGCGAAATGCTGTGTAATAGTGATATAAATGACTGTTAATGACTGATATAATGACTGTTTACCATATCTCTTAAATGTCCGTTTAGTTGAACATTCTACAGCTTCTAAAATATTTCAATACAGATCAATATTTCGTGCATAATTATTTAGTTGGCCTATGTGGCGAGTAGCTGTGTAATAAGCAGGAATAATAATAATAATCAAGACCCTCATCATCCTGTCGGGGGTTATTTTGAGAGAACCACCGGCTGGATGTACTACTTATCTTCTCTCCCTACCTGCAGCCAAATGTGACATACATATTTACAATATGTGCATTAAACGATTTTAATGCATGATGTGGAGGCGGTTGCTTCTGTGGAGTTAATTCAAATTGTTTAATGCACAACTAGCTGTGGATTATCCCACTTATACCATAGTTATTTGTCAGCATTGACAAGTTAAAGCTGATGTTAAATTTGACTGGAAGGATCAAATGATGGTTATTTTCATCAGCTACCTCTCATTACATCTTGCATTCAATCCACTTTAAATAATAGATAAAGTAGTGCGATTAGATTTATTTGATTGAATTATAACATTTATTTGAACGGAGAGAGAGAGGGATGTGCGTGTGAATTACTTGCATCTGTGCAGCGTCTCTCTACTAGCAAAGAAGCTGTGCAAGTGTAATTGCTTCAAAAACAGAAATGTTACAATCTTCTTCCTGAGTAATATAATGTAGCTAAGTTAATTTTTTAATAAAAGTGGCAGGGCAGTGTTGACAAGAAGTTTCTGTGCTCCTGTTTCTGTGTGTTCGCAGGACGATCTCTAATCTGTGTGAGTGAGTGAGTGACGTGTGTGTGTGTGCTTTAATGAAAACAGGGCATTCATAAAACAGTGATTAAACTGACTTGGAACTTAATATTTAGACAGACCCTTTTAATATAATTTAGTTTTTTTAAAATATTTTTATGATTTTCTGTTGATAGGGCTTAAAATGGGAATGCTAATGATTAGCTTTCTCTAGGTTTATCCTCTTTGAAGAAAACTGCACAGAAATATTCTTCAATTCAGCGGTGCTGGTATTTATCTCCTTGTTTTCACACAGCCAATTTAATTCCTCAGCTCTCATTTTCTCCTCGACTAATTAAAGAGTGCTGATCAGAAATCATTTGCATAAAATGAGGAACTGTCATGGAGTGTCTCTGAGTATCATCGCTGTTTAGGTTTAGTCTTCTTCAGGCTGCACGTTTTTAGGAGCCTTTTACAGTGTGGTCTCTTGGGATTTGTTCTTTCTGCCAAACCAATCTCATTTAGTTCTATCCTGAACTGCATTCACATGCTAATTCCTCCTCCCAAGGGCGCTTGCTAACCAGGTCAGTGTTGTTGGGACTCTTACATGAGTCTTGTTCGGAGGCTAGCCGTGTGAGCCTGCAGTCCACACTTCACGTGTTTATTATATCAATTTTTTTTCTTCCGCTATGACCCATCGATGTCAGCTGATGCTGTCTGTAAGCCAGTTCTGCTATTTTGTATTTAGATCACATTACTCACAGAAAACTGACTTAAAAAACATGTGGATATTTAAATACTTTTTGCCACTTGCAGATGTGTAAAGTTTTTCTTTTACTCAATCTGCAGCAGAAAAAGTCTCATCTCCTCGCTGTTTTTAGGAATTAATATTTTAAGATTGTCATTTCTTTATTGGCTCTTCAAACCCAGAAAAATATAGTTCTGCTCCAGATTTTCAATGCTTTACATTTAAACTGCATTTCAATAATCAAGGATTATGTATTAGGAATATTCTTCACAGAGATGGACATGTAAGTCAAGAAAAATCTAATTTGACTCACGTTTACTTTATTCATACTTGTAGCTGGTCTTATTGTGAATGATTAATCAGCGCATGTTATTCAAATGTAGTAGTTTTTTTTATTTTTTATTATTTAATCGAAATGTAACAACTTGCTCCATCACTTCACCTAAGCTTGTTTCGCTCAGAAATACATCAAATTATGGAATGCATAATTAAAGTGCATTACAAAAGACTTTTCATATTGTGTCGAGACAACATGAACATTACTTCCAATAAATGTTCTTGGTCTTGTTGTGCACTATTCATCAGTGCCTAAAGAAAAAGGAAAAATGTTTTTCATTAACTTTCGTTAGAAATGTAACACGTTTCAGCATATGAGACTTCTGTTTAACTTGGAAAGATGATCCCAATATGGTCATTTAAATGGTGAATGGCATTGTATGTTTTTAAAATAATATTTCCTACCTGCAGTTAGTTTTCTGAAAGCCACTATTCATGAAAGTAATGCATTTAGCCAGAGCTTAGTGGAAACAGACCATTGATCCAAATGAGTGAAAGAGGTTTTCTGTCACCTCTCCCATATACTGATATGTTTTAGCCTCTTGAGAACCCCAGCCAAAATATTCATTTCATTTCATTTGTCACTGACCAAGAAATCTAATTCATCTGAGAAATGCCTCAGTGCATATATATTCTGCAGACATTGGACATCCAGTGTGTGATCTTTTTTTTAAGGGTCAAAATCATGCGATCTGTAAAGAATATTTCAAATTTAAAATTAATCAGAATTAGAACTTGGTAATAATTTACATTAAGGTCTCATTTGTTCACATTAGTTAATGTATTAACTAACATGAACTAGCAATGAGCAATAGATTTGTTACAGTATTTATTAATCAATGCTAAACATATTGCTGTTAATAGTTTGTTCATGTTAGTTCACAGTGCATTAACTCATGTTAACAAATACAACTTTTGATTTTAATAATGCGTTAGTAAAATTAACATTAAGATTAATAAATGCTATAGAAGTATTGTTCATTCCAATTTTAACTAATGAAACCTTATTGTAAAGTGTTACCAAACTTATTTTCTGAGTGAAACAGGATATTCTGCAAGATAAAATGTGTGATGTGACTTTTTTTTAGTGTCTTAATAGCCGTAAAAATATGTTGACTTCAAAAATACGTTGATGCTGAACTTTTTAATTATATATAAAATAAATGTATTATTATGTTTGGGGTACTTTGTTACTTGGACATGATGTAAGATTGACCAAATAATTCTTAATTTTCCTAAATCAACATAATTTTTGAAGATATAATGCATAAGACCCATAAACCTAATTAGTAGTTAAAGTTGGATGTTTTGTTGCTATAAAATCGTTTTGGAATGAACAGGGCATTTAAACACCCAAATATATACTGATTGGCCCTCGGTTTAGTGTTTTCACACTACGCTACAAAAAGGATGAGTAACCCTTCACAAGCCCAACAGGAAAGATTTGATCAATACTTCGTCGACCATGCTCGTCTTCACTTTATTGACCAGCTAGATTTCAGCTTCAAGGCTGTTCTTTAGGCGTCTTTGTGCGTTTATTGACCTCTGAAGTCTCACTTTTATTGTTCGTGGTCCAGTGAGCTGTGAAGCTATCACACTAAAGCTGAACTAATCATCACCATTACATTTAAACACTTGAGTGACATTAAAGCGTCTGAGGTGAACTTTGAGGGAGAATGAGACGAATGGAAAGAGGGGAAGGAGTTTATGGATTATCTACTGTAATATGAGAAATCAGGGTCAGTATAATGGTCATCAGTGTAACCTCATCTCTGAGGTTTGAATCTGCCCATAATTTGGCAGAAATCGTGTTTGGATATTGATTGTCTGAAAGTGTATTTAAATAAACACAAGCGGTCTCTCTGTGCCAGGCACCGCAGGCTTTTACAGCACTATATGGCCAGTGTAGTATAGAGAGAGAAACATGATATATTGGCTCAAGGTTGTGTGTGTGTGTGTGTGTGTGTGTATCAGAGATTACTCTGACTGAGATATCGTAAATGAGCTGTGCTGGCACTATTTGTTTGGCTCCATTAGGCACAAGTCATTATAAGTGTGTGCAGTTATTTATAGATAAAGAAGTCGATATATATGCTGTTATTTCTAACGTTCCTCTCTGTCTTTCTGCTTCTCTTCTGCAGACAGCACTGCTCTGGACACGGAGGTCTTCTTGTGTTTTCTTTACTTATATAAGTGTTCACCCATTTCTGTTTGTGTTTGTTCATTTCTGAATTCACATAATATATGCTGCATGTTTTTCCAGTGTTCTGTTTGGTGGTGATGTTAATAAGCAGTAGTATACACAATGAGACATAGGCAAATAGACCGATAGACAGAAAAACATATAGACAGATAAATAGATGGGTAAATGGCTCGATAGATGTATAAACTTATGGGTGGATGGATATACAGATAGATGTAGTATAGATGCAGTAGATTTGTAGTAACAGGGGTGTTTCCTCTGGGTAGGCAAGGGAGGCAGTTCCTCTTTAAAAAAATGGATGAAAATACAAATATAATCCATATTACAAAAATAAAATAATGCAAATATTACAAAATATGACATTGTAAATCACTCATTTTTCTTAAGTAACACTGGTCAACAGCAATACCAGCACGCAAAGTTGCAGTGGGACGCCACATCTTTTTCGCCTCCCCTGAGCCTGTTGAGTTTTAACTGACTCACTAAGCGTGAGGTGGGTTTGGTGGGGGCTATTTCAGAATGAATGAGGAAAGTCACATGAGAGGAGGCAATGCCTCCATCGAACTATGATTAGACAAGATCACATGCAAAAATGAAATGAAATGCAAAAATGCTAAAAAAAAAACTTGATGAGATTTATAATTGTAATGAATTTGCATTTGATTCATATAGATAATAACACCATTGATATTTCCACTGGTATACAGGTAGAGAGACAGACAGGACAGAGATGGATGGAGATAGATAAATAGACAGAAAGACAGATATTTTTGTAATGTATTTGTCTGTATATTTACACATGTTTGTCACTGTTTGTCTGTTTCTTTGTGACCATGTTTTATATTTACTGTACAGGTAAATTCTATACAGTAAGTACAGCCTTACTGTACTTAAGTACAGTGTCTTATTGATCTGCGTAAGTCATCATCAGCAGGCTGTTTTCTTGTTTGACAGGGTTGTGTCAATATCCTGGACCCAGCCAAACTGGGGTTGACTGGCGGAGGGTGAGTACAGACATACTCAACTGCAAAACACACTTGAAATAAAGACAGCTGATCTGTACACCCTTATACACTGTCTAGAGTTACACTTTTATAGATACATAATAATGTTTGTGTGTGTGTGTGTGCGTGTTGGTGCCTCAAGCCGTTGGGTCTCCTCGTCTTCCATTTATCACTGACACACACTCGCTGATATTATTTTTCTCTGATAAACCGCAGGCAGGAGAGCAGGAATGTGCATGGAATGTTATTTGTGGATTTTCTTGGGACCTGATCTAGTGTTAATTGTTTACAATGGTATGTCTTCAAGTTAATGAATGTAGTGGGGATGAATTAAATTTTTGGTAATGAGCTGTCAAAAATAAATAAATATACCCTGCACTGTTGGCATTTAGTGAAGGCCGTTCTCATTAAGCATTGATGATGTCACTGTCTTCCTAACAAAGACAAACGTGTTTCTTTGGGCTCTGCATGATTGAAATAGACTTGAGTTTATAGAAATGTGCAGTATGAGAACATCCTGACCTAATCTAAACTCTCGAATGTGTATGTGTGTATTTTAGAATTATTGACATGCAGAGTTATTCGACAGATCTATTTCGCCTATGTTCATACAATACAAGCATACTGTATTCTCTGCAGTATGTGTGTACCACCCTCGATTTTCAAAAATACCATGTGAAACGGTATGCATTATGCAACGAAAAACGTTTTAAACAGTTGCTTGGTAAATTGTCATTACATTGCATTCATCCAAATTTGATGTTGAAAATATTTATTTGACATTTTTAATTGCAATTTTGTGAACAGTTCTTTTTAAAGGCACACTATGCACTCTCTGGTTTTTTTGTAAAACAGTGACCTCTAGAGCCGCTGTGGTGTACTTGCACTGTCGTAAATAACCGTTATTCCCCTGTTACTGCATTTCTACTGAACTACTGTCAAGTGCTAGACTGCTTTTTAATAATAAAGTTGCCTATCGCGTTTGCTGGCTTATAGCGTTTTTACATGATTTCTGCAAAATCAGAAGTAAATAGCCTATAGTGTATAGGCTACTGTTTCATTCATGTTTTTTGATTGTAATGTTAAAATTACAAAATGTCAGATGACATCAATCAAGTTAAATGTACGTCGCATTATTTCATAACATTGGACGTTATGATTTAGACATGATTACAATTTATCATAATAGCAAATTGTGTTCAATTATTTACAACCTCTAGGCTTATATATGTCCTAATAATTATGTGAGATATTGACTATGTCCTCATGGTAATCGCAAGAATCAACATCAACAGCGTCAAGATTTGATTGATTCATAATCAACACAATTTGAAGTTACAGTCGGGAAGTGTACTGTTAGTCAGATAAACTTGATATAACAGTAACTTACACACGTCATAAGAAATCCGAACCAGACACAGGACTAAAGATACGTGATAAATACACATCACAACACCTGAGTTCAGCTGGCAAACTAGCTCTTGTGGCAAGCTCGGCAATAAAACATAACGGAAAAAACAACAAGACTAAGAGAAACGACTGTTTTTAGGAAGTCTGCTTAAAGCTCTGGTAATCGAAAGCTATAGACATGTGAGAATTATTGAACTGGTCTTATTATCAACAACGGATGAATGAACAGCACCGTAAAAAATTACATACCACAAGCCAGTGCAGCAACATACAATATAGAAACAACTAGTATACAAATACAAACAAGTTTATAAATAAGAGATTTACTTACAAGTCCATCAACAAGATCGCCAGGTCAGCATCGCAGTTACAATCCAGTGCAGCTTTTAAGCTCGCGCCAACGAGTGAAAGCCCGACCGAGTGGACTCTTGTCCGGTTTCTAGCACGGTCCGATTCTCTTTCCCTGTTTCGAAAGTAGCTTCATACAGTATGATGTTGTTGATGCGTGTGACGTCGTTGCCGTAAACCATTTCGTGATTCTCACGCGCTGTGTCAGGGGCGCCATTCTCAAACTTGCATGGCTGGTTTTTCCGGCGGCGTCCCCCCCAAGCTTTCCTACCAGGATGATTCGCCCTACTATGACTTTGTTAACCACCAAAACGACTTTGAAGCTGTTATATTAAGGTACAGATCTTGCATAGAGTGCCTTTAATATTTGGTAGTCCAATCAAATAAAAACTCAGTATGGAGACATTAAAAACCAAAGCGTTATTTATTTGATCATATAGGTATCATATTGGAAATTGATATCGGATCAAATGATTAGTGAAGAAGATGATGTATATGAATAAGTTTAGCATATTGCATTGTGGAATACAGTACTCAGTGGAGTGTGCTTTGGTTGTAAGGCCTAATTTGACCAAGTATTCTGTGCATGAATAGTATGGGTCTGTGTGAGGCAAGAGCAATTATGATGGACTTCCTGTTCCTCCCAGCCCCCTCTGCCCATCCCATGTCATTTGCCAGTGCTGTAAATCAGCCGACTGCTTTTTATCCGGGTAATGTTTCATAGCGTACAGCATGATTATGGTATTAATAGACTCTAAATCTGCCTCCATCCCCAGGGTTGGCAGTATACTTTATGGCATTGACAGCATGCCAGATTTACGTCGCAAGAGGACCATGCCTATTGTCCGAGACCTGGTGAGTAATCATGCCCAGCACGGTTATGTTTGACTGATGGAGCTGTAGAAGACTGTATTAGCCAATCAGAGCCACCGTGCACACGGTCACTAGTCCGAATTTACAATCCAACACTGTCAGCAGGGCACATGCAAGATAGAGGCGCACACGTGTTTATGTTTTGATGCTATTTTAAGGGTTTTACGCTCCACCAGAGTAAAAGTAGGTCACTCACCTGGTGTTGTCCACAATATCTGCAGAGTTCAAATCATCTGTCTTGTCTTTAAATGTGTAGTGCTCTTATATTAATAATGAAGTTCTATTTAATTTACGAGACTCTAGGCGGCGAATGATCGATCCACAGCATCTATGTAGTATGTCGTATGTTTCTATTCATACTTTTGCATTTGTTGTTAACATTTCAAAGGATTTCTTTTTGTTTTCTCGTTTGAGCTCTTGCAGTCCGTCTACATGTCTTTGTCTCCATCTCTTCTTGATTTTTGTTAGAGGAAATTTTCTTAACCGATTCTTACATTGAGTTTTGTGCAAATGTTCTGCTTCTGAAGGACAAATGTTGATGCTGTATCTGTCCATATTTTGCATGAAATTAAAAACCAACCCTATTTTGGTAAGTACGGGTCATCGTTCAGTTTGTTATTTTGTTTTTTTGCCGTGTCCTGTGGTCCATTCCCACTTGGGCCCATATTGATTATGGGTGATATTTTTCCGTGAGTTGTCAGATTTCCCTTCAAAACGGTCGTTTTCAGTCAATCGACAGCAGATACATTCGAAACCGAAATGTTGACAACTCTACCCAAAAATATATCTGAGGACTTCATTGACTTCTGATTTAACTGTGTGCCTTTTTAAATCCATGTAAAAGTGACGTGCGCCACTAAGCCTTTTACAGCGTGGATGAAGTCAGTGCTGTACCGGGTCCGATCTGGTCTATCCCATCATGCCTCTGTCGTCTGTTTCTGTCCCCTTGTTGGCTGTGTGATTGCTTCAGGGCAACGACAGTCGGTCACGTGACCTCAGAGAAAAATTCCTCCAAAATTTAGACTACAATTCCATTGCCTGCAGCAACCCTCAGCAATTCAAGTGCATGTTGAGACTTACATCAACACTTGACGTTCATGTAGAGGTCAAATCTATCCTATTTCCCTATGCACCCCTGCTTTAAGGGGGCGTTAGCAGCCCGCTTGGTCTTTACCACCTTCAGGTTCAGGGTCAGATGGTAAAGACGAGTCCAGTATGGTCCGCTGTCCAAGCCTGCTGATCTCGATATGGCTAATCGTGGCTTTATGACTTTTGACCGGCTCTGTAGTGTCCCATTCCCCCGCATTGGCTCTTTCTCTCTCTCTCTTTCGTTCTCTGTCCTGAACTCTTTGGATCGTGTTTTTTTAGCTGGCTTTAACACATGCTGTCTTATGCCAACACTACTCACAGGCACTAGGACTATGTCAGGGCACCTTTCAGTATCTTTACCAAACATTTGCACAGCAAATGCATGAGTGAACTGTAAATTTCTGCTGCATGTCAGAGGTGAGTTATTTAAGGATTGAGCCTCACCTCTGCAGCTTTCTCTCTGCGCTTTAGACAGACTATTGATCTGATTTTCTGCATGACGGCAGGTATGACGTAAAGAGATGTGCTCTTCAGTATGTGACAGCTCACCGTCACCAAATGTCTAATTTTGTGTTCTGTTGTGCTTTTCCCTGCACCTGGACTGGACACTCTAGGCTTTGGTAAGTTTCTTGAATTCTAATGACATTTAATGAATGCACGTCTAAATCCAGTGATTGTCTGCTTAAATTGCTTCATCTACAGTAGTCAGCTGAAGGCAGCAGATGTATCATTATCTACCTAAGAGACCCTGTGTGTGTGTGTGTGTGTGTTTGGAAAGAATACAAATTACTCACTGTTTAAGTTTCACTTTAATTTGTTCTAGCTCATTAGATATGAAGTTATGGTGCAGTATCTGTCTGTCTGTCTGTCTGTCTGTCTGAGATCTGGAAGCCCAATCTTATTATTAAATATTTGTAATATTTTTATATTTTTATTTATAATTTTTTTTCTTTTTTTTTTCTTTATTTGATGTAAAAATGAAGAATGTTTCTGAATATGTATAATTCTGTTCAGTGTTCATAAAAGGAAATGCCTGCTAGGTTACAAATCTAGTGAACCCGCCGTCCACCTAGACAGCATTTTTAAGCATTTTGATTGATGTGAAGACTTCGATAATATTTTGGTATTGTCAAATTCTAAGGCAGCATTGCATGGACCCTTCATAGACAACAATATAATCCCAGAAATGTATAGCAGTACAAAAAATTGGTCTATTTATTTGTGTATGTGTCTTTCAGTAGTTATTTATTTGCACTCCTGAAATGTGAGCAATGGGCATTGTCTGTCTGTTTTGTTTTTGGGAAAGTAATTCCTGCTTCCTGAAATCACTTAAAATCACAGCACACCTAAATGAAATGAAAGCATATTAGAGCAGAATACAGCCTACATGTTCATCTAGTTCTTCTATTCAATCTAAAATGAAAAGCTTTCTGAGAGCTGCATTCTATGTAACCGGTGAATATCTGCTGGATGGTGAAGGTGGTTTCCCAGTCTGAGTAATCAGAAATTGTCTTATCCCACATGGAAACATTTAGCCTAATACACCAGATTTTTAGCTTGTAGCGTTTTACTTGAGTTCCTGAGCGTTGTGTTTATCATCCTCCCTTACTCTGGCTCACTCTCAATTCCTTTCAGACATTGGCTGCTCGAAAGGCAGGCATTGCGTTTGGGCTCGTGAACAGAACGACTCTAAACAACGAGGAGCTGGTGAGTTTTAAACATACAGATGTGTACAGCACATGCACAGCGGTTTTACTATACAGATTCATATGCAAATAAATCTGTAAGCAGCTAGTCTAATGAGGAGCGATCATGTTGCACTAATGTAACGTTCATGCATAAAGTCACAACTAATTCACACGCATGTCTGCAAACACAGACCCAGAGGCAAGAACAATTCATGCAAGACAAAAAATTACTATTTAAAAACTCTAATGATATTCTTTACTATTTGATCATTGTCACAAAATAAACCCTGACAGTGAGATCAGGAGCCTGATGCAAAGCAGATTCAAAGCAAAGCTATTCAAAATTTTGGGGTTAGCAAGAATTATTTAATACCTTAAATGGGTCATATAATGCTACATGCACTTTTACAAGTTGACTGTACTGAAATGTGTGTTGGCACTGTACACAACCATCATATAATGATAAAAATCCATCAAGTGTTTTTTTTTTTTATCTACTTGTATGTTTTCCCTGTCTCATATCGACACACCTCCCACGATTGTTGATTGACAGCAGCGTTTCAACACAGACCCGCCCTGAGTGAGCTGTCAGCATAGTCCGCCATAGTTGATACGCTGGAGAAGAATGGCATCTAAGAGATTGTGTTGTTCTGTTCTTGGGTGCAATAACAAACACAGAAATTATTTTGATGTTCCTAAATCCGAAACGCTGAAGAAGTTTTGTTTTCGAAGGGAATATTCCCCACGATCAACGTCAATGCTTTCATGTTTGCTCGAATCATTTCTCACCAGACTGCTTTATAAACGAGGGTCAGTATAAAGCTGGTTTTGCTAAGAATGAAGCTGCTCCTGAAAAAAAGATTGGGTACCAACTATTCGTGTCCCTGCTGCACCTCCAGAAGAAGTGGTTGTTGAAAGGGATAGTTCACTCAAAAATGAAAATTTCTGTCTGTTTTTACTCACCCTCATGTTGTTCCAACCCCGTTAGACCTTCGCTCATCTTCGGAACTCAAATTAAGATATTTTTGATGAAATCTGAGAGCTGGATCACTCCTCCATAGGCTTCTTAAGGGATTGAAACTTGTTCCCCGAAAACTTTTTAAAGACAGTTAAAATAGTCCAAGTGACTACAGAGGCTCAATCCTAAGTTTATCAAGCGATGAGAATACTTTTTGTGCGCAAAAAAACCCAAAATAACGACTTTATTCAACTAATAATTTCCTTCTCTGTGGGGCTAGAGTGAGTTCACTAGTGTAACAGTGTAAGCTTCTGTTATTGTACATCACACGCATCACACACATGACCAGCATTGGCCAATAGTAAGCCAATGTGTGACGTAGCTCTAAGCTATCACACTACGTTTACTGAATAGAGGCCCACAGAGAAGGAAATGAATAGTTGAAATAAAGTCGTTATTTTTGTTTGTTTTTGCGCTCAAAAAGTATTCTCGTCATTTGATAAATTTAAGATTGCGAAACTGTAGTCACTTGGACTATTTTAACAATGTCTTTAATAACTTTTCGTGGCCGGCAAGTTTCAGTCCCTTAGAAGCCTATAGAGGAATGATCCAGCTCTCAGATTTAATCAAAAATAACTTAATTTGTGTTCCGAAGATGAACGAAGGTCTTATGGGGTTGGAACAACATGAGGGTGAGTTAAAACTGACAGATTTTTCATTTTTGAGTGAACTATCCCTTTAAGTTTTATTAACTTTATATTAAACTTTGCAAATCGCTTGTATGCTTCACGATGAATGCGTTGAATGGTGAAGGTTCACACTCAGGATACATTATGTGTTTCCATGTATGTCATTCTTAATATAATTCATAATCCCATATTTATAATGAACAACGTGTTATGGTTATTGTGTTATTACAAACTTTGTATGTATAAGTTACATCAGTAAACACATAGCGTTCATATCTCACTCCTCTACCCTGCCAGTACATACAAAGATAGATCAAAGTGACATTACGTTAACCAACCATTCAGAAACATCCTGTTCTAGAATTAATTGTCGAACTTCTTCATCTTGTTCCGCCTCCGACTCCGGTTCAAATTGATACGGTTGCACAGGTGTGTCCTCAGAGGCTCCCGCTGCCATTCTTTCTCCAAAATATACCCTCAACTGTTGTCAAGGCAACACTCCATGTGTGTTGTCAAAATGCCACACAGAACAGAGGGGCGGGATAATCGAAGCTCATTATCATTTAAAGACGCATGCACTTAAACGGAGTGGTAAAATGAGTACCAGGTAAAATGTGTGTTTTCTTAAAATACTTTTTATTTAAAGTATATTACAACCTTTTCATTTAGACCCTGAAGAATCATTAACTTATAAAAATGGCATTATATGACCCCTTAAGAAAGTTTTATTTCTTCTGCTCACCAAGGCTGGATTTCTTTGATCAAAATTTGGTACTATCAGAAATATTGTGAATTATTATTATTATTATTTTCTCTGTGGATGTATTTTAAAATGTAATTAAATTATTCCTGTGATGCAAAGCTGAATTTGCAGCATCATTACTCCAGTCTTCGGTGTCGCATAATCCTTCAGAGATCATTTTGATATGCTGATTTGCTGCTCAAGAAACATTTATTATTATTATAAATGTTAAAAACAGTAGTGCTGCTTCATATCTTTGTGGAAACAGTTATACATTTCATTAGCTTTTTCTGATAAATAGAAGATCCATTCAGTGTGGCCGTGATGAGGATGTTGCTGTTGTACTTGTCTTGTGTTAAAAGCATTAAGATGCTTTCTGATTATTTGGGTGTTGATCGATGATTCTAGTTTTAATTGTATTTGCATACTTAAGATTGAAGGAGGGGTTAAAAACCTGAGAGAGGAAAGAACGTCTTAATCAATAAAGAAGAATGACTCTTCTTTTTATCCAGACCTTCTTCCCTCCCATTAATTGATCCACTGAATCAACAGCACAGATTCACACGGTGTGATGTGATGTTTAGCGCTCTGTTATGACACTGAGATGCAGGTAGTTACTCGACAAACCCGATCATATTTCAGCTGGAGAGTATATCATTTTATTTATTTATTTATTTATAAACTTATAAGAATATATAATGTGCATTCAGGCACAAACTGGACATGCTGGGGAATTTCCTATTTATTTCCTTTTCTGTTTTTATCTACCAACAAAATTACCTGGATGTGCATTAGGTGTGTAATTGATGATGCATCCGTGTCATTTATTACAACTAAATAAAACCCCAAATCAGGGTTGTGGCGAGCAGGATGAGGCCTCGGTGATCTGATAGTCACTCTTTTTTGTGTTAAACACAATACTTAGAGATGACTTCATTATAAAGAAAAACAACAAATATATATATATATATATATGTACATATAAAAAAAATGCTATTATAAACTAGATTAGTGGATAACTCATCAAAACTTAGCCTAGAAAAATCACAAGTGCACAATAATTGTATAAAATCTGAACATTTAGGTACGCATTGCTCTTTGTATTGTTGTAAAATATACATTCATGAAAAACAACGTAAAAATCAGATGCACTGCTGTTTTAAATGTATAGCACAGCTGTTTAGTGAGGCAGCAACATATAATAGATAAGACAGAACAAAGGCTATTAATAATCTTTCATTGTGCAAAAGTATTATGACATGATCATGAAAAACTCCAATACAGTGCTGCACAAAGTGCTTATGCACATCACGAGCGCTGAATGATGCACTTGAAGCCACATGGAGTCACAGGGCGGCGCGCAGCTCTTCGAGTCCGCATTGAAAAGTTAAAAGCTCCAAGGAAAGAGAAAGACATATCGATGCATAGTGTATTATACAGTATCTATGCAATAGTTTATTCAGCCTTTTCTTTTAACAGTTTTAAATTTCAGTTAGGCTACTGTGCGCGTGATGAACAATTATAGTGCGCTGACTACTCTAGTGTTGTGATCTAACAGACACTCAGTGGAAAGTAATAAAGTTACAGCAATAAATGTCTTACAAGATAGTAATTTTATGTGAACCATAGACCTTTATCTATGGATCAATTATAATAATATTAAAATTGAATCTTGGAAAGAGTTTCATCATGTTGACTGTCATAACCGAACGCGACGTGCTGTTTGAACACCGAATAGAGAATGACTGACAGCCGCAGCGAAGGGAAAAGCTTAATTCAACCTGAATTTAATTACTTAAATATACATTTCTATCTCACATTATACTATAGAATGGCCTATAGTATGGCTTCATTTAGTATAAAGTGTACACAATTAACGTAGGTCACATATTTCAGTTTCAAAACGGTGAATTTGGCCGAAAGGTGAGATCAATATGCCGCAATCATGTATGCTGCATATTGATAACGGTTCCCTGATGCCCGCAAATTAGTTAAAACTCACGGAATCAAGAGCGCACATGCGAGACAAAAGATAATGTGCTCCAAAACGCCCGTGTTACGCGGGCAGCAGGGTAGAGAGTCGAGGGAGAGAGACCTGCCTCATGAAGCGCATGTAAGATAGAGAGCATCATTACTGGCCTGTTTCAACCAATCACCAGTAAACAATCCCCGTGACGTAAGACCAACTAATCGATACTGACTTTCATTGACAACAATTTTCATAATTGATTATAATCGATTTTATCGATTAGTTGTTTCAGCCCTAAAATATATAGAATTGAACTGTTTTATTACAAAATATATAAATATAATTTTGGACCATTCTTCCTTACAAAAAGTCTCCATTTCAGTAAGTTTTGATGGCTGCCGAGTGTGGACAGCCCACTTCAAATCATTCCATAGATTTTCGATTATATTCAAGTCTGGGGACTGGGATTGCTATTCTAGAACATTCTATCTGTGTCTGTGGTTTTCCTTTATTTGGAACAATGCTTTGGATAATTGTCCTGCTTAAATCAACCAACCCCAGTGTAACTTCAACCTCTTGACTGATTCTTGAACATTGTTCTTAAGAATCTGCTGATACTGGGTAAAACTCATGCGACAATCAACTTTGACAAGGTTTCCAG